TTTTCCTTCCGTGAGAAGCAGGATTTTGCTTCCGCGAAAGTCACTCTTGGAAATATAAAAAATGTGTTTTCTTTTTTTCGTGAGGTACGGTTTTGCTTTCACGAGAGGCACGAATTTGCTTCTGCAAGGGGCACGGCCATGCCTCTTGGAAACGAAAAAAAACACATTTTCCCCTTCCGCGAGAGGCACGGGTTTACTTTTCGTGGAGGCACGGATTTGCTTTCTGTGAGAGGCACAACATGCCTCTTTCGGAAAGGAAAAACGGCGTGCTTGTGGTTTGGTTTTTTCGTGAAAAAAAGTTCGTCAAAATCTATCAATATAAGATCTAGTTTTGAAAATCTCAATGTGAGGAATCTAATGGTGAAAACATTTCGAGATTTGGACGCATGGTTTAAGAGATAAAACGTTTTAAATAAACGGCTCTAGAAAAAAGGCGACAAATGATGCATTTTCGCCGCTTGTCGCAACTTGAGGAGATGAGAGTGACCTTTACAAAGAGTGCGCTTTAATTAGTGATTTCGCAGTTCTTTCGTCTTGCTGTAGGTAAGACAAAGAGCCTGCGGCTATGTTCCCCTTATTGCAAGAAAGGAAGCCCATTTTTCACCCTTAAATGTGGCCCGATGGACAAATAACCTCCAAAACTCTAATTTGGTATGATTTTGACTCCAAAAATTCTGAAAAGCGGATAAATCTTCCCCTCGGGTGATTTTGTTGCTAACTTGTCAGATTTTAGGCGGTTCTGGAAGATGATAAGGGATGACATTTTTGGCATGGCACTGACCGCTTTTCTTGGTTGCACTGGACCAGACAAGTCGCTCGGTTCCTTCACTAGTCGCTCCCTTCATTCTCCATTAGCAAGGACGCCGCCGTGGTAGATGGCGTCGAGGCTAACACCATGGCGGTCGTTGATGTCCAAATCCTCAGCCCTTGCTCTCTTCCTCGTCCCTAGTCTGCCTCCTCATCCAAATCTCCGTCCTCTCGGCTCTTCACCTTTGCCTTGGCCATAAACTGAAACTCTAGTTCTCCAAATGCCTAATCGCCATGGCGCATAGCTCTAGGAAGAACGATCGCTTTGAATTGCTGCACGTGCGTACCAATACTCGCCTTCACAGGCGACGTGGTGGCCGGGCCCAGCAGGACATGGCTCGTGATGCCGACGTCAATCATTTTTTTATATTCAAATGCATATAGCTCAAAAAAATACTTAAAATAAATAAATAAATAAACCACAAATTTTAAAAATGTTACTATAATATAAAAAATATGTTAGTGCAGTTTTCAAAAAAAATGTTCGTGCAAACGAACAATGTTGCCACATTTCAAAAAACAAATGCGCTTTTTTAAAATGTGTATAAATGTAAAAATAATGTTTGCATAATGTAAACAAATGTTTTGTACCATTAAGAAATATTCCCTCGTTACAAAAAGTATGTTCGTGACACTAAAAAAACATTGTAAAGACATCAAACATCTTAAAAAATTATTTCCCTTAATTGAAAAATGTGTGTGACATTTTTAATAAATAAGCACATGCTTCTAAAATATTTCCGTGAAATTGTTCAAAAATGTTTCTAAAATGCAATAACAATGTTCGCGTAGTTTAAAAATAATATTGCCGTTAAAAAATGTTAATTGTGTATTTGAAAAAAGTTACTGTGTATTCAGAAATGTGTTAAAACTATAATTACATCATGTATTTGAAAAATGTCCAATGTGTATCAAAAAGTGTTTCGAGTGCACTGTAAAAATGTAAATTTGGTACTGAGAAAAAAATACATGTATTAAAAAAAGATAACCAATAAAACCGACAAAGAAACAAAATGAGAATGAAAGAAAACAAATAAAACCAAAAAGAGAAACAAAGTGTAGCTATGAAAAATAGAAAAAAAACAATGAAAAACAAACAAAACCGAACTAAAAGAAAAATGGTGAAAAAACAAAAAGAGAAAAGGAAAAGGAAAGGAAAAACAAAAAAACGATTGTTTTCAAAAAGGAATCGGGATGCGCGACACATAGCTCTAGACCAGACACGCCCGTCCCGGTTCCTGCTGGGCATATGGAAGCGATGCTTATGAGTTTCAACAAAGCCTATAAGCCGAGTGGTTCTTCCATTGGCACACCGTTTCACGGTGGAAAAATGGTGCGAGTTGCTGTGTCGACCGAGTGGACTAGCTCAATGAAACAGTTGGTTGGAACCTTCCATCGTTTTTGGCCGCCTTTACGAAGGTTCCACGAATTCTCACTCTTTTTTGTGTGTGTTTCTCTTTACCTATTTTTTCATATTTATTCCTTTTCTATTTAAAAATAAATATCTACTTTTTAAATACACCTTGTATATTTTTCATATACATGTTGCACGTATTTGAAATACACCATGAACATATTTGAACATTTTTTAGATGTTAAGCATTTTCAGTTACACATTGAACATTTTTTGAATAGACGTTAAACATTTTATCAATACATCTGAAACATTTTCAGATACACATTAAACATCTTTTAAAATATATGATGATCATTATTTTTAAATACACCTCGATCATTCTTCGTATGCACGGGAACCTCTTTTTATATACGTTGATTATTTTCCATATAGTTGGTAACTTTTTTTTTCAAATACATGTTTGAACATTTTTTGGAATACATGATACATGTTGAATAGACGTTAAACATTTTTTGCATGGTCCTGGTAGAAACATTTGTTTAGAGTATGCGGATTCTTTTTTACATTGTATAAATATTTTCTTTAAATGTCATCAACATATTTTTGAAGATGTGTGAAAGTTTTAAAATGTAACAAAAATATAAATGGCATGAAACATTTAAAAAAATATGAGAACTGTTTTTTACATTGCATAATTTTATTCTTCTTAAATATCATGAAGATTGTTGTTTGAAACATGTGAACATTTTTTGAATGTCACCAACATTGCTTTTATGGTCCAAGCAGTTTCTACAAATTGCGAAAATAAGAATTTTAGACTGGAGTTAATATTTTTAAAATACTCGAGAAAAGTTTTTAAAATTTAAGTAAATTAATTTTTGTAATATTTGTATTTTGAATATTTGAAAATATAAGGAAAATGGAGTGAATAAAATATATAAAAGAACGAACAAACAAAGAAGTGAAGAAGAAATCGAACGAACACCCCTGAGGCCCTGATAAAAGAGAATAGATTGGGGCTAATGTCAATCCCACTTCTGCCATTAATCCACTGATCATGCCCGTTCAGAGTTGATAAACATGATCCATCGATCTCTGCCACACGATAACAATGTTCAGGTCGGACGACGTGACAAGGAGCAGGCGTAGCCATCCTGCTGTGTTGGCAGTTGGGCAACGAGTGGTGCCCGGTCGTCGCGAAGGAGGCGCCCTCCTTCCCAAGGTCCTCCAAGACGCCCCCCTGCACTACTGCACAAGTTCCTTCTTTGTGGCCAACAAATGTCTCGTGGAGGTGGACCTCCGGGAGTGGCGCAACGCAGCGCGCCAGGCGTCACTCGCGAAGTCGGACTTCGCACCGGCCAGGTACTCACAGAGAAATGGGCCTTGGATCATTCTAGGAGCACGACAAACCTCCGCTGGCCGCCAACGCCGATTCAGCAATTCGCTCCACCAAGTGGGGCTGGCTGAGTCCGAACGCTTCTCCTGGCTCCAAGGCAAAGGTAGATGGTGCAAGGTAGAGTCCACGGCCAACCATCGCCGCGAGGCGGAGGCAGCCAAGCGGCTGTGCCGCAAGCATGTTGCGGCGGCCGCAAAGGGTTGCTTTGACGCCCGACGGGCCTTCCTCCACCAGAAAGACGACAACAATCACGACTGCAAGAACAGCGAGGATGGCGGCTCACGCGACTGCACGTAAATGAACGGAGGTCCCTGTGGCCAAGGCGACCATGCCTAAGAGGTCATCAGTACCTCGTTTAGTTTAGATTTAAATTAGTTTGAACTTGTTAAATTTTGTCCGTTTGATGGTAAATATATTAATTTTTTACAAATTTCATTTCTTTAGCATGAATTTTGTCGGTGTTTGTGTTTGAACGTTTGAAGTGAGCCAAACATTTAATGCCCACGGTTGGATGGGTCGTGCTAGACTCATTGTCCGCGGTGTTGCCGTCAATTTGATGACTACCGTCGGAATTGTCCTAAAGGCCCATGCAAACGGACAAGAACTCAACTCTAGCACATGTTTTTATTGATCTATTCATAATCAATCATGACAATATATAAAACACAATAGGTGAGAAAAATTATATCCAGGTCAATGGATTATCTGGCGACGACTATAACCATTGGAACGAGTTGAAGGCATGTTGCCAGCATTGCCCCTCCCTCACTAAAGCCGATCAACCTTATTGTAATAGACAATCGGTGAGTCATCGGGTTAAGACCCCACAGGACAAGCGCACCAAAGCAACGACCATCGCCGATGAAAAGCGTTTGTAGATCGGAAGGATCAAATATGTAAACACTCAAACAAAGACGAACAAAGGCTAGATCCAAATAGACCCGCCGAAGACCAGCACCGAACCACTTCCGTGAGATACGATGAAGACACACCTCCACACACCGTTCGCGTGGGATTCATTATTCCTACTAAGGGGCATTGTCACCGCCACATAGTTCTAACCAAGAGGCTGGACAAACAAGAATGAGAGTGGGGAGAGCCAACACTGGAAATGGATTTGATCAGTTGAGCTCCATTATGCAGTATTAATTAGTTGAAATGGCGCTTTCAGCTGCTAGAAAATGGAGTAAACAACGTTATCTCCACTTGATAATCTGTAACTATATATGTCAACTAGATAGCCGTTGACATTCTCCTATCTCGCAGTACAGAGCAGTACGTAGTACGTAGTACACACTGCGTGCAAGTACACAAGCGCAAGGAGTACTTGAAATTGAAATGGGTCGAGACGTATTGACATTATTTCAGAAGCCTATATACATATAGGTAGCGTGTGTGGTGTACTGCATATATACTCAAGCTAACGATCATAAGCCAGACATGGCGCCGAGGTCAGCAGCTCTAGCGGTCGTCGCTGTGGCGGCGACGCTCCTTGCCCTGTGTGGCTCGACGGAGGCCCACACGCAGCTCGGGGCGTACAACAAGACGTGCCCGCAGGCGGAGGACATCGTGTTCAAGGAGATGACCGCCGTCCTCGCCAAGTCGCCCGGCCTCGCCGGCTCCCTGCTCAGGCTCTTCTCCGTCGACTGCTTGCTCGGAGTAAGTAAACCTCACACTATAAACCCAGCTAGGCAAGTCAAGTTCACAATGGTGAACGAATTCACTGCGCGCAGGGGTGCGAGGGGTCGATTCTTCTCGACTCCACGGCCAACAACACGGCGGAGAAGGACTCGCCGCTCAACAAGGGTCTCCGCGGCTACGACGTCGTCGACTCCATCAAGGCTAAGCTCGAGGCCGCCTGCCCCGGCGTCGTCTCCTGCGCCGACGTCCTCGCCCTCGCCGCGCGCGACTCCGTGCGGATCGTACGTCGTCTCACCCACCTACTTCCTTCAGTATCGGTTGCATCATCGACCTTGCATTGCATTGATCTTAATCATCTGTATCTGCTAGACCAAGGGGCCGTACATCCCGATGCCGACGGGGCGGCAGGACGGGAACAGGTCGTCCGCCGGCGACGTCGCCCCCAACACCCCCAAGCCGGGCGCCAACATCACCGACCTCATCGCGCTCTTCGCCAGGTTCAACCTCACCGCCAAGGACCTCGCCGTGCTCTCCGGCGCGCACACCATCGGCAAGGCTCACTGCTCCGCCTTCTCCCCTCGCCTCTACAACTTCACCGCCAACAGCAGCGCCTCCGACCCCACGCTTGACGCCAACTACACGGCGACGCTCCGCGGGCAGTGCAAGGCCGGCGACCTCGCTACCCTGGTCGACCTCGACCCTGGCAGCGGCGCCACGTTCGACCTCGGGTACTACGGGGACGTCGCGGCGAGCAGGGGCCTCCTCTCCACCGACGCCGCGCTGCTCCTCGACGGGGACACCAGGGCCTATGTGATGCGCCAGGCCAATGCCACCGCGCCCGACGAGTTCTTCGTCGATTTCGCCGCGTCCTTCGTCAACATGAGCAAGATCGGCGTGCTGTCGCACCACAAGGGCGAGATAAGGAGGCAGTGCTCCGCCGTCAACCCGCCGTCGGCCTCCTCCTTGGCGCCTGCCGCCATGAGCGCGCACGCCGTGCTACTCGCGAGCTGTTTCGTCTCCATCGTTACTCTGGCGCTTGTGCTCTAGCCAGCAACTTGTGTGAAGTACTATTTGATTTGGGGTTGTTTTTGTCTCCGTTCATTCGCGGTGGTAAGTATATATGTTGCCAAGTAGTGCATTCTTGATGTTTTCGGACATCTTATTGGTGCAGAGACTGAGTGTAATTGGTATTTTCACGATATTAATATATTTCTTTTATCGAAAAAATGTTGCCAAGTAGCATTAAAAAAATTCACCGAATTTGGGAATTTTTTTAAAAAGTTTATCGTTTTAAAAAAAGTTCATCAAATTTGAAAAAACTCATCGAATTTGATAAAATAGTTCACTGGATTTGAAAAAAAATCACCAAATTTAAGAAAAGTTCACTGATTTTGAAAAAATGTTCATTGAATTTAAAAAAAAGTTCATCAAATTAGAAAAAGATCATCGAGTTTGAAAACAAGTTCAAAACATTTGAAAAATACTCCGCGTGTTTAGGAAGAAAAAAAGGAAAAACAAAGAAAAAGAACAAGAAATAAGAAAAAAGAAAAAAAATAAAAAGGTCTGGGGCTTAAACAGTGAGCTTTGAAAAAAAAACAATGAAAGTAATAATTAAAGAAAGAAAAACGCAATTTGTACAATTCAAGGAGGCTGGCGTAGTGGTTCCAACTGCTATCTTAGGGGGCTGGGATCCGAGTTCGACTCCCCCAAATAGGATTCGCCTGAATGCTAGCCACTGTACGTTCTGTTTAATTCTTGGGAAGAGCGTGTGTTTTATTTCTCGGTAATAGAATTAAAGTAAAAAATAAAGATGCATGTGTACTAGAGTCTTTATTTTCTATTTCTTAATAAGGTCCATTAATGATAGCTTGTATTGGGAAGAAAAAATAAATGTAGATACTTCAAATTACTTTTTGTTATGAGGCATATGTAACCATATGCCACCATTGTACATGCCCTAATATATCTTCAGCTACACACGGCGTGACCCACAAGCCGTGCTACCATCAAACGACAAATATTAGCAAGATGATGACGCTTGACTTTCTGTGCAATAAATCCACGCAACTCCATAAGTTTCTTGATCTCTAACATAAGATGTCCATAGGCGGAGCGATCCAATAAATCATCTGATAAAGTCGCAACGACAGATAAGCTGTTAGACTGACTCACAATTGGAATAAATCCATGCAAGTCCAATGAATCATCTAATAAAGCCGCAACGACACACGAACTGTCAGACTGACTCACAATTGGAATAAATCCACGCAACTCCATAAGTTTCTTGATCTCTAATATAAGATGCCCATAGGCGGCGGTCCAATGAATCATCTGATAGAGCCGCAATGACACACGAGCTGTCAGACTGACTCACAATTGGAATGACTGTTGCATACTCATTGGTAGTCCTCCTAGCACCGCACTAACTTCTGACTCTAGGGCATCATTGCAATGAAATAGGTAATGTCCTGTCCTTTTCCTTTTTTCCTTTTGTTTTTGCTTTTGGTTTTTATCTTTTTTCTTCATTGGTTTTCATTGTTTATTTTACAGTTTTACAGGTTTTTTCTTTCTTTCTTTCTTCATTTTTGTTTTTACTGATTCTTTTTGCTTTTCTTTCTTCATTTTCCTCTGTTTTTTTGTTTATTTGTGCTCCTTTTTTGGTTTTTATTGGTTTTCTTCTTTTTCTTTGTACGTATAGACTAGGAACATTTTTTGTATATACGTTTAACATTTTTTAAATACAGGTTTAGCATTTTTGGCAACTTATATTTTTTATGTCTTCTTTTTTCATACACGTTGTACAATTTTTAATACACTAGGAACATTTTTATATACACTTTAACATTTTGAAAGTACATGATTAAATTTTTTAAACATATATTTTTATGTCTATTTTCTTCATAAATATTGTAAATTTTCTGTATACATCAGAAGTATTCTATATACATACATGTTTACCATTTGATAGGTACATGATTAAAATTTTATAAAACACATATTTTTTATGTCTACCTTTTCCATACACATTGTACATTTTTTTGTATACATCAGAATTTTCTTATGTACACATTTAACAATGCAGAAATACATGATTAATATTTTTGAAAATCTTTTGATGTCTACCTTTTTACATATTGTAATTTTTCGTATACATCGGGAAATAAAATTCTATACATATTTAACATTTTTTAATGCATGATTAACATTTTTCAATTTGTTTGAAAACTTGTGTTTTTATTTTCAACTTTTTCCATACACATTGTACATTTTTTGTATACATCAGAAACATTTGTTTTCTACAAATATTTAACATTTTTTAATGCATGGTTTTTCAAATATTGTATATAAAATGATTTTTATAGTGGACATATTCATAATATTTTGAAAATCAAGTAAAAGTAAAAAAATAAAACAAAAAACGAATACAAAAATGTGAAAAGTGGAAGAAAAAAGCGATGAATGCCTGTTTCTGTGCTGGGCAGGGCCAATTGGGCGGTTGCCTGAAGCGGGACGCCCTACTGCCTCGCTTCAAGCGAGAGATAGGCGCGCCCTTCCAGGGGAGCTCCTTTTTGCTGCATTCCAGTTTGCTAAAAAAATGCCGCATTCCAGAAGGTTCCCTGAACGAGTTCTGTAGGCTGTAGCATGTCTTATATCTATCAAAATGGGCCGGCTCAACGCAGTTTGATCGATCTGTATCCTGCGCGATACAGCGGCAATCTGCTGCAAAATGCGGCAGATAGGGTTTAATATTAAGGCAGTCCAGCACTGCAATCTCGACTTGGACATCTAGCCAACAATTTTCCCCAAAAGCAAGTCTGGCCAATCATTGATTCCCAGCAAGTAGAGGTCAAGAGAAAACGACAATGCTTATAGAACAGCCATAAACTGCAGAAAAAAGAGCATGCATTGACTGACCATGAAGAGTTGATGGAGTAGCAACCAAGGTACCACGTTCGTCCTTACGTATTATACGTACAACGCAAACGCCCTTCTCCAATAGAAAATGGAAGCATTATTGTGTAATCATTGAGGAGACTAGACTTCACTTGCGCCGTCGCCATAATGTCAAAAACGCTCTTATATTATGGGTCTGAGGGAGTATCTTCTTGCCCCACCTGGCTCTCGCTCGCTTAGTTTTAATCTGACCTGATCACGGCCAAGGCCTTGTGCGTCATTCATCCACGTTAGGTTAGGTGGCGTCCAACGTCATGTGCTTGGATCAGCTGCCTTAATTTGATATGCAATTCTCTGTCAGTTTGTCGCCTCGTTGATTCATTTTGAATTCTCTGCTCAGCATTTTTGTTGTTGTTGCACTCTCTAACCTTGCCTGCCCAAGTGCCCGTCACCATCGGGTCCTCGGGTCGCTCCACCTCCGATATATATCTCACCGTCGATCACCACCCCTCAACTCTGTCTCTCACTCGCATTTGGCCTCACCGCGCCATGGAGGGAGGGAAGAGCCAGCTGCACTCGCCTCTTCTTCTTCTTCTTCCCCAGAGGATGCAGGAGATGTTCCTCGCCCACACGGCGGGCTTGCTCCATGATTCGCCGAGTAAGTCTTGACAAATTTCAGGTCCTGTTAATAAGGGTCTGCTTGGTTTTCTTTTTGTATTCCGACATGGAGCAGAAACCGCACAAGAATGTGCATACAAACATGGCAGCATTTGTAGCCCATGACCTGTAAATTTAGTTAGTTAGCCTCGATGGTTTTGTCCTTTTGTATAACTAACTAACTGAAGTAATAGCCACAAAGTTCAAGATTTCAGTGACCAAGAAATAGTTTTATAAATTTACTTATGGTTTCAAACATGGTCATGAAGAAAATTTAGCAAACTGGGCCGATGACAGTCAGATCATGTGCAATGATCAGCTTTCCGTTTTCATCCTAGCATCCTTTCTGCAAAAATATAATATCACTCTGACTAACAAACACTCCTATGCATACAACTGTCTAAAAGAAACCAAGGGCTTGCTGTCAAAAAAAACAAGGGCTAGTATATCTTTTCTAGACTTTTTCCCTTCAAGTATTAGTCATTCAATCTTTAAGAAATAAGGAATATGTCAATACAGGGAACACTAGGAGAATGTATGTATGTTTTTTCTTTCTCAATTAAGAAGAGGAAAGAGTGTAAAATAACCCCCTCAAAAACACATCAATTACTATGCTTCCATATGCACCAAGCTACCAACACAATCAAAGTGTCAAAACACTTGGCATTTGAGAAAAAGGGTTTCCCCCCGCTTTGTATTCCAAAGCAACTATCCGATACAGCCAACGATAGGTGCTGGGGCGGAAACAGCACAAGCACGCCCAAAAGAAAGAAAGAGAAAAAGAAAAGAAACAAATGCCGATAACGGTGGATCGACAAAAATGACGAAGCCTCGCAACCGCTGCGTCCACCGGAGATCGCCCACCAAGCTCCGAGACTCCGAAGCGCCGGTACCAATCAACACCTCCAAGAAGGGACGCGACGATGGCGACGCTGCTGCTAAGGGTTTCCCCCGGTACACGGCGAGGAGAGAGGAAGGGTAGCCCCGACGCCCTCTAGGAAGGTCCGAGGGCACCCTCAGGCGCCACCGCGTCAGTGTCGGCCAAGCCAACAGAGATTTCTCCCGATCCCATCCTCCACCTCAGGCACTCCGGAGCTCGCCACCAAACCGACCACCACCCTACGCCAACACGGACACGAAGCTTCCCGCGCTGTCTCACCACGGCACCGCGAAGATGGACTGCACAACGAAGAAGAGGAGCCGGGACTAGGGCAGCAGCACCGTCAGCATACGGGAGGGCCCCACCTCCACCGTCCATGACGGTAGCCGACCGGGCGCCAAAGCAGGAGCCTACTGGGCCCGTGGCCCCACAGGCCCGGCCGGGCCCTCAGAGGCCCGGACAGCTCCCGCCTCCACGCAGCAGCTGGCACGCCGTCGACGCCGCTGCCCCAGTCCAAGCCGCTCCCCACCCTCTCCATACGGAGAGCGTCGCGGTCGCGCCGGAGCCGACCCGCAAGGACCCAGATGGAGCCCTACGGGCCCAGATCTGGGCCGGG